CCTCCACCTCCTGGGTTCAGGCAATTCTCCTGCCTCAGCCTCCTGAGCAGCTGGGACTACAGGCACGCGCCACCATGCCCAGCTAATTTTTTTTTTTGTATTTTTAGTAGAGACGGGGTTTCAGCATGTTGACCAGGATGGTCTTGATCTCTTGACCTAGTGATCCACCCGCCTCGGCCTCCCAAAGTGCTGGGATTACAGGCTTGAGCCACCACGCCCGGCCTTAAAAGGCTTTTTAACTTTTTTTTTAAGCATCATACTGCTTTTCTTCAAAAATATATATGCCAAGTAAAATTGTCGACATTAGTTAATACTAGATTTTTGTAGAAGTCATACTCTAACCTTTTGGAAACGTATACTCTGAACCTTTCTGAGGTTATTCATTGAGAAGGCCAGGAACATGCACTACCTAATGTATTCCTGCCGTTGTTTCTCAGGGGTAAACTCATGAAGCTCTGGAATGAATTTTCTTAGATCTTGGAGTATTTTCTAAAAGGTAATGAAACTTTTCTCTGCTAACCCTGTATTTATTAAGGAACCCTCCCACCTCTCTTTTTTGTGACAATGGGCTGTCGATGCATGGTGGACGTCATTAGCTGCTGTGTGGAAAATGAGCCATGTGAGGGAATGAGAACGTAAGAGTGAGCATAGGGTTTTGGAAAACAAACAGCCCTAGACCTGAGGAAATAATATGACATTATTAGGTAGAGACAGCACTCTCTAGAAGGACACTGAGAAGAAGAAACTAAGGTTTGAGTAAACTCGGAGAGTTCAGTTATGTCTCTAATAGTTGGCTTTGTGTCCTGAAGAGTCAGGGTCACAGCTGAGTCAGAGCCAGGTTGATACTGATCTCAGACCCAGGGACAAGGACCCAGGGAGGACTCTCAGCAGTGACACAGGTGACCTGGGGGAGCAGCAGCCTTGGGATGGGAGCAGAAGGAGGCACCCTATGGAGTGCATGAACAGAGGGGAGGGGCAGGTGCCATCCCCTGAGTCTGGTCCTCAGGTGAAAGAGGAGCAGGAGCAGATGGAGAACAAGTGACTAGGTGGTGGCGATCAGTGACCTTTAGTGTGGCTTCTTGAAATCCCTTTTCCTTTTTTTAAAATTTTTTTCTCCTCTGGGCTTAGGAGGCCAACATGAGGGTGTTTATCTGCTTTCTGTCTCTCCAAACACGACCTGATTCTCCGATCAGTGCCTCCCTGATGGGCATTGTGTGTCTTAGCCTGGAACTGATCTGTGAAAGGATATCAGAAAGGTCAGAGAGCCCAAGATGGAGTTTTAGGAGACAGAGACACGCTTGCCTGTGTCCCAGCCCAGCTTTCAGTCTTCACTGGACAACACCCATCACGAGCTAAAGATGAGCGTGGAGGGTAGAGTGATTCACACAGTGGGGCTACTTAGGCCTGTCTCCTGGTTTTTTTTCTTGTCCTGTCATGTCTGGACCCCAAATCTCCCAGCCATGAGTTTAGTATGTAAATGTCCCCAGCTGCAATGTTAAGGACAGGTCTTGTGTGGCCCAAAGCAGTCAGGTAGGCTCCCTGGTCACCATGAAGCTGTCGTGGGAGACGGCATGAATAGTCTATTTGTCCTGAAGGCTGAGATTTCTGACCAGTGGGTCAGAAAGGGCAGATCTTTCTCATTCTGGAACTTTTTATAATGAGGATGTAATATGTGAAAATTGGGGAGTCCATTTTTTTCCAAATACGAATTCAGCCAGTGGATAGGAGAGATTAGGGAGAATTGACATCTCATACATCTGAGATGTTTTCCCTCCTTCTTGCCACGTGGAGAGGGAAAGGTCCTGTGTCACCTTTGATCAAGGCTGGGAAGCTGTTGTCTAAGTTTTCACTGTGACAATGAGCTTAAGGCTTCCTGTAGCCCCCAAGACTTGAAGGACCCCAAGTAGTGTAATCACTGTGCCCCGCTCAGCGGCTAAGGCCCGCCTTGCCCCTTACCCAGTCTTCAGTCCCTCCTTACCAGAAGCCGGTGCTCAGTCTGACCATGCTCTCTCTGTGACCCCCGCTGGTCCCACGGCCTACACAGTTTCTACCTCCTTGTCCATCTTCTCTGAAGCAACCGGAATTGTCCTCACAAACTTACCTCAGATCCTGTGTCCTTCTTCCCCAACCCGCCAACGGCTCCTCCACCCTCCCCCACCCAATCTCTCCTCCCCTCACTGTGCGACGCCATCTTATTGCATCAATATTTTTACTTGGGTGTCTTTTTTGCAAGTCAGTGTCATCTCTATGAGGACAGGCACCATCCTGTGTTGTCCTCCCTGTGTCCTCAGTCTTTCACCCTGTGTCTGTCACACAGTAGGTGGTGAGCAGATGTTGTGGATGTGCAGACCTCTGGTAGCTGGCTGTCCTGGGTCAGACACAGGGGACTCTTAGTCTTGTCCTGACCTACCATGGACGTGGCTCCCAGGGCAGCCTGACCGTGGTACTGACAGGTTTTTCTCTATATGAGGCAATATGGCAATGTGTTATTGCTAAGAGTGGGATGTGTGGATAGAATTGCACAGAACGGGACACATTCTGTAGACCGTGTTCACTGGAGTAGGTCTAAGACTTTAAATTTTGGCCACAGTGTTGATTACCTTACTTGGTCAAGGGTAGGGATTTCCCAGGGACGCCTTATCACTGGGTAGACAGCAGGTTTTTCTCCCATTTCCCCACTGGCCTGCAGCACTGCGTAAGTATGGATTCTTGGGTCTCAAGCTGAGCATAGGAGTCAGCCTCGTTCTCTACCTGTAGCCCACAGATGCTCAGGGAGGCCACGTTCTTTGACCTGATGCCCTGGAACTGGGCTTGGACCAGTGCAGACCAGTAACTGCCATCATATGAGCAGTTTGGGTATGCTGCTGGGTGATGCTGGTTCCAGGACACAGGCCCACACTCAGCCTTGCTGCTGCTTCCAGTGCGATAAACACTGGCCTTTCGCCCCACGGATGTGAACCAGGCACACCACTGAGTCAGCAGAGATTGTTTCAGAACCATGATATGTGGACAAACACAGGGTGAGAGTAGTGGGTCAGTGGACAGGGAAACAGAGTCCTCATTCCTTTCATTCCCAGTTCTGAGACTGGGCTCCAGCCACCCGTGCGGTGAATGAGGAGAGACTGAAAAGGAGGCGCCCAGGTTGTGGTAGGGACCCCCCACAGTTCTGCATCCTGAGGACCTTCAGCTGGACCTGGGCTCCCCAAGTCTCTCTTATCACCCTAGCAGTCCAGGGTGAGGGGAAACTCTTCATGCAAAGCAGCCTCCTCCCCAGGAGTGTCCAAGCCCCACCTGGGCCCTGACTCTGACCCCGGTCTTGAAAGCGGACCCTGGAAGGAAGGCGGAAATGTGTGGGTCTGTTCTGTGGCTCCCCAGGGACCTGTGGTTACTCAGCTGCTAACCATGGGGGGAAAGGGCAGGGGGCTTCAGCCCAGGGCTAGCATGTG